AATGAAGATTCATTTAGATTTAGTCGAAATTTAAATAACATTTTTCTGTAGTCGAGCAAAATTGTGTGAAGATTTTCTGAAGTTATTATTCAATTGAAAGAAGTTCACTGATAAAGACCTTCATATTCAATAAAACACTTCATTTAAATAATTAAAACAATCTAAAACTAAAAGCAATCGTTTATATTCTTACTGTAATTAATTCTGCAGCACGTTTTTTTAAAATTTCTGATTGTTCAAGTTTTTCAACATCATTCATTGACCATGATTCCTTAGCCTAGTATACACACAAAAAAAAAGAATTCTTTTTCTAATTTTTTTTTCATTAATTTTATCATCTTTACAAACTTTTTCAAAATTCAATAATGTAACATCATATTGAACAGGAGTATTTTTTGGAATGTTAAATTTTTCTACACCAGTTGTCGCATCTGATTTTAATTGTAATTGAGCATGTTCATTTTTCGTCATTTTTGTAATAGCATGCTCGACACTAAACACAAAAAAAAATGATTAATGAATTTACAAGACAAAAACAAAAACAAAAATAATAATTACAAACCCTTCAGGAATATTTTGTAAGAAACCTTCACCAACAGTAAATGATACTGTTCGTTCATCGAATACTTGATCTTTATGAGTACCCTTAAGCATAACTTCAACAGTAGCACCTTCATTTGGTTTAGCCCATCCTTCACCTTTTGTTAATGTTCGTCGCATAATACTTTGATCTTTTTTTTCACTTAAATCTTCACCTAAGAAATAAAATTAAAATAAACAAAAAAAAAAACAAATTGTTTTTCTTTTTGTTTTTAACAGAAAAAAAATAAAATAGAAAAGACATTACCAACAAAATCAAAAAGTTCAATTTCAAAAATTAATGTTGCATTTGGTCCTATTTTGTCACCCGAACCATTTTCGCCATATGCATATTCAGGTTTACATGTTAAACGACATATTTCTCCACGTCTCATTGTTGCGACACCAATATCCCATGCTTTAATAACTGAACCTTTACCAAGTTCAAAATCAAATTTTTGATTACGATCTCGGCTACTATCAAATTTAGTGCCATCAAGTAATGTACCAACATAATGTACATAGACTTTATCATTTGGTAATGGTTGTTCGTCACCATGACCTTCTTTAAGTATTTCTTTGAGAATACCTTTAACAAAACGAAAAAAAAATAGAGAAATTAATATTTGAAAAATTGAAATGAAATTATTCTTTCTTTTTTTTTATAACAAACCTCCATCTTTTTCAGAAGTTATATCTTCGCCTTTAAATGTCGTTTGTTGGTTGGTTTCCATTGCTGTCATGACTTATGTTGGCTAAAAATGAATGAAGTGAAAAGAAAGGAAATGAATTTTGTTTGCTTGCTTTCGAGAAGCTTCTTTTCGTTAGATGTCGTTCTATATATAAACTTTTATTTTCAGCACAAAAAATTTAATGAATTTTCATTATAAGTTTTAAAAAGTGAAATCTTTTTTTCTTATAGGAAAAAAAATCCAATTATTAGTGTCGTTAATTACTGTTGGTAAAGAAAAGAATTGGATTATGGCGGCTTATCAATCAATCAGCTTTAAAGAAATTTTATGTAACTTCATTGATATTTTTCTTGTTAGTACACATTTACTTTTAGCTGATTAAACATTTTCGATTTCGTTTGAGATTCTTCTTCAGAACGGCAATACCCTATACACAATTAGTCTAATTGATAGAACATATCAAAGAGTGTGGATGCCATGATGTCGCTAATCTATAGAAACATCAAGCTGGCTTATTTTGCTGATTTTTAAACAATTTACATGATTTTAATAATCAAAAGATATGAGCGTGAAAGTGTTCAAATGACAAATTTCTAGTCGGGAGTCAAAGTTTCAGTTCGAAATATGGAGTTAACACTTTCTCATTATACGATGAGAGTATCGGATCATATTGAATGAATTATTATGCTCACGAAAAGTTAATTTCTGTATAAACTCAAGAGATTTCATCTTGAAATTTCGAGCGCAGTTTTCTGGTCTACTTTTAACTGACTCTTACAAACTCTCAATAGCTAGTATTTTTCAGTTCATGCTTGCATTACGAATTATCAGAAAAGATATCAACATTATGCAATTACAGAAATATTTAGATATAAAGAAACCTTAAAAGAGAAAAAAGTCAGCTATAGCATAGTATAGATGTTGTTCAATATTAGTCGATATGAGTTATTAGATGAAACGTGACAGATTAAAATAGGAGTTACTACTATTAGAAACTCCAAGAGTTATATGAGCTTTACATTGTTGTATGTCGTCGTAGAACTGATTGCTTAATTGATATATTAGGTACATCTGTTTTTTTTGCCAGTTAAGTAAAGAACTTCAATAGACAAGTTCGGTTCGGTTGAAAAAAATTCGACCTGTTTCAAGTATGTCTGATGTCCTCTGTTTGAGTTCTGAATAATGCTTATTTTTATGAATTTTCTGCGTATTGCAAGACAGTATGCAAAAAACTACAACAAGAGTTTTTCCTTCGAGATAACATGATTGCAAAAAAAAACTAAGTTCCTCGTAAAAATTCCAAAAATAGACCATTTTTTAAAAAAATATTTCATATCTTAAGAATAACTTATTCTTTTGAGCAGAAACCTTCAGCATATAATAAATACCCTGGGATCTGTTGTTGGAAAAATTTACAAGCAGAATGTTCTTATTGAAGTTTTTTTTTCATACTATCCTGCAATATGCTGAAAATTCAGTAAAATAGCCATAATTAATACGTGTCGGGTCCAAATTTTTCGAACCTGGACGGAACAGGCTCTAACCATAACTAGAAAACAATGTCTTAAAGAAACGAACCTTTTTCAAGTTTTCATCTAAACTATGAGACCTACGGTATAGGTGAAATATGAACTCAAATAGAAGGTATCAATTGAAGAAGTTCCCTCGTAATATATTATTCAATTGATTATTTTTCTTTTTGATATTTGTTACTTTAACAAAAATGAGGAACAAGATCTCATTTTTAACGGTCAGCTATTCGTAGTTTTCGACAAAAAAAGTTAACAGAGTTCAGAAAATAATCTTTTCGTGTATATCCATGTATGTTTTTATAGAATTGTCTATCAATATATCGAATAGGTTTTAGTAACTGCTAGAAGAGCTTTTACTTCATCAAATGAGAATTCCTAACAGAACATACCTTGATATGTTATGATGATCAGCACATTGGTCAATGGTAACAAAGACAAATATAAAAAATTTTCAATTCAAAATAAATTTCAGAATATTATTCTTTAAATCAAGAATACTCAAAATAAAGCTCAATAGGAATATATATTGTATTATTAGAATAAAAAAAAGTGGTATTAAAATGAAATAAATATTTAATAATGTCGTCAAATGATTTCCTTAATCATTTATAGTATGTCCATTAATATGAGCAGTTCGATCAGCTGATGCCATATTTGATGGAAAGACCATAAAACATTTAGAACATTCGTCCAACATATCATCACAGTTGTTTATTGATCGATCATCATCATTCGAGATTTCTATGGTTAATAACCGTCCACTTAGATAAAAAATGAAATTCGTAAAATAAATCAGCTTATCGATATATATACTTACCTTGTTTGTTTTGAATTTGTGGACGTTGACTTTATAGATGCACCTACATATGTACTCCTATCTTTCTCTTTGTCGTCTATGACTATCAATTTCTTGTCAAATTTATCATTTTTAGTGTCAATTGTATTGAGTTCATTCAAATTTATATTCACCGATTCTTGTTGTGTTACTTGAATCAATTGAATAGGTTGTTGAGTATATTCTAGTGCGGCTAATTCGAATTTCAAAGCCTTACAGCGATCAAGTAATTGATTAACTTGCTCAGTCGTATTTGTTTGCTCGTGTATATATAGTTCATCAATAAGAAGCTGATATCGTTGTTTCAAATAACGCATTTCATTAGCATATTCTTGCGTAATACGATCAATTTGCTTGTTGACATGTTGACAAATATTGTGGATAAGCGTATCTCCCCATTCACTGATATCAGTCAATATTTTTGATTTTTGATCAGACAAAGTCTTCTCATAATGTTCAAATACTATGTCTATTTCTTTTTCTGGTCGGCTTCTTACAATTGTATAGCCAAGTAGCGTAATTCTCGACATCAACAAGCTAACAGATATCAATAATAATAATAATAATAATCTAAAATTCTTCAGAAATGAAACACATGTTTGAACATAATTTTTCGAAGATTGATTTCGAAAACTAATTATTCATTGATACATGAAATAGTTTTCATGTACTGCATACAATCTTCATTTATGTTCATTACTTATTTTAATTAAAGAAGAAAATTCAAAGATGCATGTTGCAAAAGAATACTAAAAAAACTCAAGTATCTCAAAAAAAGATCTGTTTGCAAGTAAATAGATGACAAAATGAAAATGACTGGTTCGACAACAAAGATTACCGTTTGTTTTTCGTCTATTTTCCATAACAACTTAAAAAGTATGTCAAACAAGTATTTCTTACATTGAAGAAAAGTAACATTTTATCTTCAGAAATCTATAATAGAAAAAAATACGATAATAATTTATGTTTTTCATATTCAGTGATTTTGCACAACTGTATTTTGAATATGTTGAATTGTCAAGGGCTTGTAATTGCGAAATAAATAAACTAAAATTTAAAAAGAAAATATTATGCTAAACTAAAGCCAAAATTTATTTTGAAATGTATGTTTTAATTTAGTCAAGTTTTATCTGCTGTTGATCTTCTAAAATTTGAAGTTGTTCATATCATTGTTTGCAATGTTCCGCCTCAAATAATTATACAAAGGTCATGTTTACCAGTAGTTTATTAAAATATATGGAGAATTTCATTCGTTGGCAATGTGATTTCGCAAAATAAAAATACGTATATCTCTGAACTTGGGCATTCCTATTAGGTATTTTTTTATGTAACAGATGTATATTGAGTTACTCTAGATACCATGAAAAACTCGGTCTTGTAGACCTGGTTTCCGTCGAGTTATTATTGCAAAGCCAGCGTTAGCGACATCACACAAAAAAAGACAAAGTTTTTCCGGAACAAACTTAAGTTTACCAAAAAATTTAATCAATAAAACCAGCAAACTACTTCGGTTGAATGAAGAAAAGACAAATTTCGTACACCTGTAGAATCCTATAGTAACAGTATTAAATTTAATTGGTGCAATCACAAAAGTATTTAAAGGTAGCATGTTTGTGGAGATTTATTTCTAAAAAAAGTCACGAAAACGGAGAAAATAGTGGTATAAACTAGACAAGAAAGATTTTAAAATTTTTTGTTTAAATTAAAAACGTTTATCGAAATCAACGAGTATTACTGTATATATCAAACAAATGATTTTTCCTTTGTATGTTAGATTGTATTCGATATTTTATATTTCTAAAGATATGTTAGACTAAGGAGAAACATTAGTGCATTAATCTTATTTTTAAGGACAAGAACGATTGATTATGAAATGAAGATCTTACAAAAAGCATTTGTTTGTCATCTATTTAAAACCCGTGGGATTCCAAGTTTTCGGAGCCAGATCTGGTTAAGGAAAATTTTTCAGACGCGTACTCAACTCTGACACGACAAGCTCTACATTTATTCCTGAGTAAACACTTTTTCTCGCGTTTTTTTACATCATTTGATAGAGCGTGATATGCCAATCACGAAAAT